ATATATATATATATATATATATATATATATATATGCAGTATATATGTGAAGTATATATGTAATTTAAAAATGTAATTAGATATCAGACAAACTTGCCAAAAGTTTTTGTACTTACTTTAACTTTATGCTTTATTACTTCGTAGTGGGATACTTTTTAAAATTGGTAAAAACTACAAGCCAGCAAATAAACAAACACAAACAAACAAGTGAGCGAATAAGCTAATTAAAAAAAAGAAGTTTGAGAGAGCTAGTTAGTAACCACAAACAAGCGAGTAAACAAACAAACAAACAACAAGCTCTCCCTGCCTGACCAGCAGCAGCTGACTCGTGCAGGACCGACTGAAACCTGGACCTGGTCACCTGGTACCAGATCTGTGGAGGGTCTCGTTAAAAGACAGTTTGAGGGTTAAAACAAATCGACTTACTTTGTCAAACATTCCAACAGAACCAAGTCCAGATCAGACTCTTGTTTCCACCGAACGTTTTCATATTTCTGTTTAAGGTCGATGTCACAGAACACGTCACCGGAGCCAAAGGAGAAAAGGTGAGAAATATTATTTCTTATATTTGAACATAACGTGCGTTCACTATTTGTAGGTTTATGTTCTGATGTGTGCTGGCAGGGCTGCAGAGGACCCAGAGGACTGGAGGTGGGTCACCTTTAAGAACCAGCCTTCAGGCAGAACACGGGTTTAGAAAAGTTCTGTGTGTTTCAGGGCCCGCCAGGTCGGATGGGTTCTGAAGGGGAACAAGGATCACAAGGTGTTCTGGGAAGTCCAGGTCAAAAGGTACGAAGACCTTCTGTGGAGATGAATTATTCTCAAACGTACAAGTCTGAACACGAACACTTTCAGACTGAACGAGTCTTTATCACTACGAACAAACTGGAATCCATAAAAAATAATTATTTAAACCACTGGGACCATTTTAGAGCAGAAGTCCAGTCTGTCAGGTCCTGCATGGACACAAGTCCACTGTCTAAGGACACGTGTGGACACAAGTCCACCGTCTGCTGAAAACTGTCCAACTACGTCCGATTCATTCAAACCTGGATTTAATCAAATTAAGAGTCCTAAAAGTTTTCAAGTGTGTGTTTTGAGCTACCTGTGAATATTTGACCTTTGACCTCTCTGTGTTCACAGGGACAGAAGGGGGACAGAGGCTGGAGGGGTCTGTATGGAGAAACAGGAACGACTGGTCTGTCGAAGGTCCGTCCCAGTTCTCCTGTCTTCACTGTGACGTCACAGACACTGAATTATTAAAATGACTGAAGTAAAAACTGCAGAGAATCTCTGAGGACTTTCAGTCTTCATCACGTGTTGGCCGACGTGAGAAGATCAATTAATAAATTATTTTGGTTTCTCTCTTCATCACGTGTCGGCCGATGTGAGAAGATAAATTAATAAATTATTTTTTAACACCGTTGGCCAGCTGGATCATTAATTCAGTCCAGTTTCAGTTTATTCTTCCATCCTGAATAACCTTTGACCTACAGACAGATTCTTTATACAAACCTTTTGAGTGTTTAATTCTCCCAGTTTCAAGGTCACAAGTCAAGGTCAGATGTTACACAAGGGTCACTGCTGTATAACAGCTTGTTGATGGGCGTGTAACGTGCCGTCTTGAATTAAGATCAGTGACTCAGATGTAGATGAAATCCAACATCCTGCTTCAAACATTAATGAACCCAAACTTCCAATTCAGTTTATTCTAAAGCTCCAAGTCACAACAGAAGTCGTCTCAGGGACTGAACAGAAACATTCATGTATAAAATATTAATTTAACAGAAACATTCATGTATAAAATAATAATTGAACAGAAACATTCATGTATAAAATAATAATTGAACAGAAACATTCATGTATAAAATAATAAACAGAAACATTCATGTATAAAATAATAATTGAACAGAAACATTCATGTATAAAATAATAATTAACAGAAACATTCATGTATAAAATAATAATTAACAGAAACATTCATGTATAAAATAATAATTGAACAGAAACATTCATCTATAAAATAATAATTTAACAGAAACATTCATCTATAAAATAATAATTTAACAGAAACATTCATGTATAAAATAATAATTGAACATTATTTATCTGAGGAGCAGCTTTGAGTTTAACTCCATCACAGAACTCTCATCTTGAACAAGCATGAAGGCGACAGTGGAAAGAAAAACTCCCTCATGAGGAAGAAACCTTTAGCAGAACCAGGATCAGGACTAGAGGACCATCTGCTTCCACCGGCTGGGTTTGGTAGGAATAGATACACAATGGCAGGTCAAGAATCACATGTTAAGATAGAAATAGTATCAAATGAAAACTATTCAATTTTAACAATTCATTTAAGGACATGAGGTCAGTTTGTCCTCTAGTAGTCTAAGTCTATAGCAGCAGAACAAGCCTAACTATAGGATTTATCAAGAAGGAAAGTCTTAAACTGGACAATGTGTCAGCCTCATGGACAGAAACTGGAAGTTGGTTCCACAAGAGAGGAGCCTGAGAACTGGAAGATCTTCCTCCCATTCTGCTACTGGAAACTCTAGGAACCACAAGTAAACCTGCAGTCTGAGAGTGAAGTGCTCTGTTAGGAAAACATGGAACAATAAGATCTGTAATATAAGATGGAGCTAGGTTGTTGAGAGCTTTGTAGGTTAGAAGTAAGATTTTGAATTCTATTCTGGATTTGACAGGGAGCCAATGGAGAGAAGCTAAAACTGGAGAGATATGATCTCTCCCAGTAACTCCAGTTAAGACTCAGGCAGCAGCATTTTGGATCAACTGAAGACGTTTTAAAGAAGTATTTGGACACCCAGATAATAAACCATTGCAATACACATTCCTGATGTGTTGGAATCATTCTTTCACTTAAATCTGTTGTAAAAATGGTCTCCAGCATTAAGACAAGTCGTCCCTAATAAAACAACTACTGAATCATCTTTGTCATCATTTCTTGTGTTTTCAGGGCAGTAATGGAGGTGAAGGACTTAAGGTGAGTCCTCTCGATGTCTTTTATACGATTCACTTTGCTGTTTGTTGATCCTATTTGGGTTTAATTCCATCGATCCATCAGGGTGATGAAGGTCTTAAAGGGCACAAAGGGCAGCGTGGAAAGAAGGTGAGGAGTCTTCTGTCTGTCTTTGTCCGTCTCCGTCACTGTCTCTCACAATCTGCCTGTGTGGACAGGGGGAGCGAGGCATCCCTGGGAGGCTGGGACAGAAGGTAAAAACGTGATATTCAGTAATGAGGACCAATTATCATCAATGTCTAAGATGTTTTTTCTCTGCTGACCAGGGCGACCTGGGTCTAAGAGGGGATGCAGGGTTGAGAGGGGAACGGGGATCAAGAGGAGAGCCAGGATCTAGAGGAAACATGGTGAGCTTATAGAAGCTGCTTTTTATCCTCCATCATTACAAAATCAGTTTAAAATGAGTTTAATATTATTTTTTTAGATTAGATGCACAATTGAACTCCAAGGATGAATATAATTTTTTATTGTCTGGACACCATCCATCCATTATCTTTTACCCGCTTCTTCCATTTTGGGTCACGGAGGTCGCCGGTGCCCATGTCCAGCAATCACTGTGCAAGGGGCGGGGGACACCCTGGACAGGTCTCCAGTCCATCACAGGGACACATGGAGACAAATGAGACAAACAACCATTCACTCTCTCACTCACACCCAGAGACAATTTAGAGTTACCAATCAGCCTAACATGCATGTTGTTGGTCTGTTGGAGGAAACTGGAGCACCCGGAGAAAACCCACGCATGCACGGAGAGAACATGCAAACTCCACCCAGAAAGGCCCCTGGACCGGGATTTGAACCAAGGACCTGCTTGCTGAGAGGCAGCAGCTCTACCAGTTGCGCCACCGTGCTGCGTCTGGACAAATCATTGATCATCATTTGACACATTTCCTAAAGTCTTGAATACCTGTTACACATTCAGGCCAATAGGTGCCGCAGCTTCCCTTCCACCAGCACTGTTCATCACAGCCAGCTGTAGGAGTTGGTCCGAGTACTCCAGCACTCACTTTCACGCCACATACCACTTTTATGTTGGTCCCACAGCGCTGAGCTATAGTTCCTGACAACCCTCCAGGCTGGACTTGGTGAGTCCTATGAAGAGCTGCAGTGGTTCAAACTGAACCGAACCTGAATCTATAATCGCTTCTCAGATCTGCAACCTTCTCATCCAACCAGATATTGAACACTGACTCCTGAGCCGGGACCGCAACAGGTGCCAGTCAATGTCAGCTAGATAGCAGGTTCAGGTTAACGGATCTAGAAGACATAGAAAGTATGTGAAATGTGATAAATCCTGAGGATACCTGATAGTTGTAACCTGTCTGCCATAGGGCTGGTGATGAATATCAGGAATGACCTGACAAAGATGACTGCCAGCTTCCTGTTCCCCACTTAAAGAAGTAGGTTTAGGGTGGATAGTCACATCCTCTGCTCTGGTTAATAGGTGCTACCGACATATGGCAGCTGTGTTGGTGTTCAAAAGAGCTGCTTGAGCTTGGAGCGTTGAGCTCGAGTCTGAGAAGCACCTGTTTGATCTGGTGAATATGAGATGTTGTCCATGTAAAAAAAAAGAACATCATCCAGATCTATATGCATATATGTATACATACACTTGTGTCCATATTCTTATGTATAAGAAGTTGCCTTCTGTTTATGGAAAACTTCCTTTAGGATGGTGGACAATGGACACTGGGGACTTGAGATGAATCAGGATAATGCTAGTACGAGTATCGAGATATGAAATGGAGAGGACTTGCTTAAGGACTTGTTAAGCAAGTTGTAGAATATGATAGACCTCATTCTAAAATTTCTCGTGTGCCATGGAAAGTCAGGATCATGCGTCTTAAACCAACATAGACCAAGAATCACAGCTCAGGTGCAGATGTAAAAAGATCTTTCATGGTGGATACAGGAACAGGCTTAGTCTTTACAAAAGGTGACCATCTAAGGAAACATCTCTTGAGGGTTCTGTTGGGATAGACTGCAGTTCCTCTTTAGGGACAAGTTTGTCATCAATAAACTCTGTCTGTCCCTGATTCACTGAAACCTCTGAAGCTATGAGTGTGAGAAGGAAGCAACAACTAAAGGATAATACCAGACTGTGAGGAGGCTCTGATGGAAAGTGACTCAGCAAAGACCTCTTTTCCTCAGGCACTCCTGAACTTCTGACACCTCCACAACAGAAACAGAACCTGTTCCTGAACCTGGGCTCTTGCTCCTTTTGTGACCGACCTACAGTAGCTGCATGGGTTCCTCCTTACTTTGAACTGGTGGTATGAGCAGCTTCGTTTGAAGGTTAGAAGTAGAAGATGTCTCTTGGGAAAATATGACTGCCCGACCCTTCTCTCTCCTGTGCTTTCTGAGACCCTGATTAATCTGGGTTGCTAGATGCTCCTAGATGTTCTAGGTCCTATATGTTGGGCCTTTCTCGCTGGGCAAAGGGGATCAAACAACGTGTAGCTCTGAGAAGAACTAGGGTGCAGCAAGCAGTACACATGCCTGAACGGTGAGCAAACATGACAGAAATGTGATGTGTGTCAGTAAAGAGCAGCACAAATCACTGTTTCATTCACCAAATGTACCTGAATCTCCATCTTCTATGGCCTATTGTAGTCAGGTCACAGAGGCAACAGATCCAGGAGAGAAACCCATATGTTCCTCTCCCTGAGGACACTCTCCAGATCCTCCTGGGGACCCCCAAGCACTCCCTGACCAGAGAAGATACACGATTGCTCCTACCAGTGGGACGTGCCTTGAAAACATCCAAATGGAGGCGTCCAGGAAGCATCCTCAGATGAACCACTTCAGATGATTCCTTTCGATGCGGAGGAGCAGCAGCTCTACTCCGAGCTCCCCCCAGAGGACAGAGCTCCTTGGAGCATTGCGTTAGTAATGCCGGCAGTCCTCGAGGGGGATTTGGTAGGCGGGACGCTCGGTTCTGTTGACAGTGCGGGGCGCCCCCCTTAGATAAAGGTAGGGGAAACACTTTGATGAATAAAGCAACGTATGACCCAGCAACTGTTGCAGTTTCTCTTCCCAACAAACTCAGTTTAGACTGTGTAACAGGAACCTGGCAAAGCTTCTCCACCAAGGTCTTTTTCCTGTGCACGTCTAAATGAGTAAGGGTGATATTTTAAGATGCGTTTGTTTTAGGGACAGAAACGTAATAAATAATGGATAAAAGTGGTGTCTTAGCCCACTATGTTCAACATGCCTGGCTTATTTTTTAAGAGGAACCGATTTATGCTTCTTTGGATGCTACCATCCAGCTGGTACCGCCAGGGACATGAAAATCAGCAGAATGTTCTTCATAACAACTGAATAATTATTTATTAATACAGCATTTTTCAGTCTGGTCATCTGGACAGTTTCTTTGTTTTGTGCTGAAACTCCACTTTGCAGTAAGCTGTTGGGGGAAGAATCAGTTTTGTTGTGCGTTTCCTTGACTGATGAAGCCTTCTGGATCGAAGGCGAAACGTTTCAGAAAAAAAAAAAAAAAAAAGAAACTGTCCAGATGACCTGACTGAAAACTGTTGGATTGTATACCTGGATTATTGAGCATGGACTTTGTTATTTATTAATAGTTAATAACTATGTGCAGGGACTGAAGGGATCTCGTGGACCCACTGGGCAGATTGGACACCCTGGTCTGGCAGGATTGCCTGGTCTGACTGGAGTCACTGGACTACCAGGACAAGGTTTGTGACCAAAACAATAAAGTATTGATAAACACATCAACCAGCAGAAGACCACTAGAACATATGGTTGAGCTGTAAAAACTATTATTTACTTAAAGTTTTGTTTTTTTAAATTAAAACAGACCTGGGGCCTCATTGGTGTTTACACACAAAAAGGTTGCATACACCAGGTTCAACTGGTCTCTGATGACCCCTCAGGTCCACAAGATGTACCAAAAAGTGGGACCAGACGGTGTGCTCCATTTATAAGGGCATAACTCTCCTTAGCCTCCCTGGTAAGGTCTATTCAGGGTTCTATTCAGGGGTACTGGAGAAGTGAGTCTGATTGATTCTTGAACCTCACATTCAGGAGGAACAATGCAGGTTCCCTCCTGGCTGTGGGACAACGGACCAGCTCTTTATCCTCCCTAGGTTCTTTGAGGGATATCGGGAGTTTGCCCATCCAGTCTACATGTGTTTTGTGGACTCGGTGAAGGTAATCAACCATGTCCACGAGGTACACTCTGGGGATGCTCTGTGAGTCCATAACTATGGGATTGGGGCCCCGTTTCTACAAACCATTCAGTTCCCTACAAGCAGTGCGAGAGTTTGGTTTATATTTCTGGCACCAAGTCAGACTCTTTCAGGGTGGGAGATGGACTCCATCAGGGCTGCCAGTTGTGACTGATTTCCCAGTGCAGCCAGGGGGCAGAAGGGAGTCCGATTCAGTGGCTTCAGGATTCTGTCTCTGCTCTTAGCAGATGATGTGGTCCTGTTGGCGTCATCGTGCTGTGACCTCCAGCTCTTACTGGAGCAGTTCGCAGCCGAGTGTGAAGCAGCTGGGATGAGGATCATGGTGCCTGATGGTTCTAGAATTGCTCCGCTCCAGGTGGCTGCATGTTGGAGCAGCTCTGTTACTTTCATTCTGAGGTTTTGCTTTTGGAAACTTTAGTTCCTCTTTTTCTGGATGTAAATCACATTTTTGGATGATTGTTTCCTCTGGTATCAGATGCTGTGCAGCTGGAAGGATTTTCACTAAAACTTTTTCAGTTTTGGACATTTGTTATGATGCGTAACCATGGCAACAAGGTGTTTTCCACCCTTGAGCAGCTGATTAACATCTCAAAAACTCAAATAATAGCTAAACTACAGCCCCAAATACGAGATGAAAAGGAGGCACCGTAGATGCATTCCCGTCTTCTTGCCGGCTGTGTCTCATGTCTCTTGAGTAAGGGAACCATGTGTCTTGTTCTAGTCCACGTCCTGCCAGGACTGCAGGGAGACGCAGGAGGTCCAGGACCATCAGATCCATGTCCCTGTTCACAGGATCCAACCTCACAGACACAACTGGACCAAGTTCTGATGGTGAGAGAACCACCAGAAACTCCCAACTGAAAACAATCTGTTCCTGTCCATTTATACGTCTGTCCATCTGTCCCTCCATCCATCTTTACAGCCTTCCATCCATCCGTCTGTCCATAGTATTTAAATGTTTGTATCCATACGTACATGATCACGATTCGGTGAACATGTTGAAAATGTTCCAACATCACACCAGAAACATGAACAGAACTCGTGTTTTCCATGTAAATTAACACATTTTCACCTGTAAAGACAGGATTTTGTTTCTGAACTCTGATCTCCTGAGAAGTTTTCCACGTTTTCTGTGGATCACGCTGCTTCGTCCACTCGGCAGGTTTTCGTTGCAAACGGGGAGAAAGAGATGCGGCGACTGCGATCGGAGAATGTGACCGTGCTGCGGACGGACAGAAAAGGTCTTTACGTCTTCAGCCAGAACCAGTGGATCAACGTGTTGGTGAACTCTGCCGCAGACTCACCGTAAACCATCAAGCACGATGTAGTTAGAGAGGACAGAACGAAACGCCTGGAAATCCAGGCTTCACAACTCCAACAAAGGACAACCACAAGTTCATTTAGTAAAAAATACAGTGCGTTTACAAAGTTATTCAAAATAAAGATACTGTATACATGCTGTTAAATATGAGAAAACTAGAGAACTAAAGAATAGAGGTAACAGGTGTCCAAATCAGTTAATTGTCAAAATAAAAACTGCCTGCTTGTATTAGAGCTGTCGTTTCTAACCCGAGCCTGAACTCATAATGATGTGCTTAACGGGCGGGCCGGGCCGGTCTTTGATGCGCTTTTACGAATCATACAGCACAAATAAAACTAAAGAAAAATGCACAATATAAAATTGTGTAAATCTACTTGTAGAGGAGGAAGCAGGTCCGACCGGCCGGTTGAAAGAGGTAAAAAAAAAAAAAGTCCAGTTAAGCTTGAGATGGATCAGCTGATCACCGGCCGCGCGCCTCTCCTCACCTGCGCTGAAGGAAGTAGCAGCACGTGCAATTAAAATAAGCTTGTTCTGTATTTTTACAAATGATTTTGCTCTAGAAGTATTTTTGTTCATCTGAATAATAACCGCTCTTTACAGTTGATTTTTTAGGCCATTTGTTTTGTTAATATCCATTTGGTGAAACAAGAAATCTGATTTCTTCCTTTCTTTGAAATGTTTTTAAAATAGCAGGTCAAACTGATTTGGTTACAAAAGCAGTAAAAGCTTAATTAAAAAGTTTTTTCGGGTTCGGGCCTGTAATTACAGTTAATCCGTCGGTTTCTGGTCGGGTTCAGAAAACACAATATGGGTTTGGGCCGGGCCAGATGTTTTAGGCCCGAATGCAACTCTAGCTTGTATGTCCAGATGTAAGCTCAATCATCAGGTAAATAAATCACAACGCGTTAAATCGGGTCGTCTGGACGGATTCTTCTTGGTTCAAACGTTTCGTCTTTCATCTGGAAGCTCTTCACGTGCATCAGGACCCTCAGCGTGACGATCGATCTTCAGTGCATAACGATCGTTAGAGGCTGATGGCCGCTTGCTATTCACAGAATGATCGAGCTCACACCAGGACTGTTTTGATCCATGTTGGACACGTCGTCCTCAGGCTGGTTCGGTGAATAGCAAGCGGCCTTCAGCCTCTAACGATTGATTGTTACACTGGTGGTCCCTTTTACACGAGAAAAGCCAGTTTCTGGAAGTCCACAGCAGACTGGTTTGATGCACTTTGAAAAAGGTGTCTGTGGCTCAGACTCAAGTCTTTCAGATGGAAGTCGAAACGTTTCAAGAAGAATCCTGATTCGAGTTTTTGTGAGACCTGCTTGTTACCTCTTTCCAAAGTCTCTCAGTCCTGACGCTTGAGGTTTTGAACACGTTTTAAAAAGTTGTGCAACAAATTCCAAAGACTTGTAGATGATTTTTGGTTTTGTGGCCTGTACGACCGATGGAGTCCAAACAACTAAAACAAAACCCAGAGGAGGTCTGCTTCAGTTCATTTGACCAAAAACAAAACTGAGGTCCTCAAAATGAGAACTGCAGGCGTTCTGACTGGAGTCTAATGGATGTCCTCCGGCCTGGTTCCCTCACGTTACAAACAATTTCCCCTTGAATTCCTGGTGTCTCCCCCCAGCCTGTCAACATGTCCATCTGTTCTACTCGCTGTTTAAGAATACCGTATTTTATTAGGCGCACTTAAAATCCTTAAATTTTCTCAAAAATCGACAGAGACCCTTATAAACAATCCGACGCGCCTCGTGTGTTAATGCTGGTTGTGCTTCCTGACCTCGACCAGACTTTTTGTTACAGCTGAACAGTGTTATTGTGAATGAGCTGAATAAAGCTCGGCTTGTGTTTAGCTTCATGCACCTTATGGTCTGACGGGACGTTGAGCGTGGGGGCATGTTGGGGTGTTTGTCTCAGACATCATGCTCAGGCACCATGTCGCTGCAGAGTCTATCGTTTACTTCAACCCCTGGAAGTCTCTTCACGACTCTGGGGGAAAATCAACCGCTACATTAACTGCTTCAAAATACTACGTCCCCCCCCCGAAGCAGACAGAGGCCTTGATTCAAAGTGTTTATTGTTTTGTGCAGAGTCATCAGGAATGTACAGGAAGAGGAAACAGCTAAACATACGAAGATCACCCACGTCATATTTACACGCTTTACAAACACTGACCTGTTAACCTCATTAGGCTCCGCCTCTTCCTGCAGAATACAGGAAGCAACCGGACGTTCCCCGACTTCTTCTGGTCGCTGAACATCTGGGGCCTGAAGGTTTGGACTGCTCCTTACATCGTTCAATTCAACAAAACTAAAACTGGATGCGCCGAACGTTTCACGTTGGGTTCATGTGAACAAACTTGGAACTAAAGATTAGTGAGAAAAACAAAGAGCCCAACAGAACAGGTTATTATGCCCAACAACATAAATCATAACTTCGTCTAATCTGCAGGTTTAGTCAAAGAGACGATGACTTCCTGAAGGAGTGTCGCCGTTTGTAACCACCGAGTCGATGAAGCAAACCGTCCTTTGTTCTGGTCTGAGAAGGTTCTAGTTCGGTTCTGGGCTCAGAGGTCCTTCAAACGTCCGGCCGTTTGTTTCCCAAGTGAAACGCCTCAGAACCACGACTCCACCCACACGCCACCGTTTCACCTCTACATCGAGCTTTAAACGAGAACCCTCGACATCTTCTGTGTGGAAAAAACACCAGCTCCGATCTGTAGCGAAGCTCAACGCAGTTCCTCGTTTTAAATGCAACAACGATCCAATCAAACGGCTTTCGATCCGAACTCTTCACTATAAACGCCTGTTTTTAATTCATCATCAATCAAACGGTTTTCGATCCGAACTCTTCACTATAAACGCCTGTTTTTAATTAATCATCAATCAAACCGTTTTCGATCCGAACTCTTCACTATAAACGCCTGTTTTTAATTAATCAAACTGTTTTCGATCCGAACCCTTCACTATAAACGCCTGTTTTTAATTAATCATCAAACGGTTTTCGATCCGAACTCTTCACTATAAACGCCTGTTTTTAATTAATCATCAATCAAACCGTTTTCGATCCGAACTCTTCACTATAAACTCCTGTTTTTAATTAATCATCAATCAAACGGTTTTCGATCCGAACTCT